TTTTTGATATTGTAGAGGGACATCAGAAATAAATATAGATGTATGTAGAATGGAAACAACACCTTTAATCTGTAGTTAGGTAAATATGCACAGTACAACATTTAATTTATCTACAAACATTTAAGATGAGACTCAACACACTTGGGAAGGAAATGATAAGCTAAAGGGAAAAAAGATTTTAGGTGAGATTGAAAGAGAAGTAACTTGCTTCATTTACTGTAAATATGGGAAAGTTCAAGATAAGTGGAACAGAATGACTGAGAAGGGCTTGAACTGAGGCCAGGTTCCAATAAAGCATGTGAGAAAGTAGAGCTTAGCTAGCAGGCTTGGGTAGCATGATGGGCTTTGTTACTCCTATTCCAGACAGTGATAAGAGGTCTGAAAAATGGGCACTGCAGACTAGTGAGTCAACATGAAAATTTGGTAAGATTTTCAGAAATACTTGTTGCCACCTCTGTACAGTAAATGTAATATGTATGCCTAGCACTGAGAAAAATTCTCCAAACTATTAATAGCAGGAGTAATCAAAAGTCCATGAAGAGCTTTAAAAACCATAAGAATTATTTGAATGGATTTGAAACATGGATACAATTTGAGAAAAAGTATTTAACATGGTCTAACTTTGAAACTGCAGCTGAATTATCTGGATATGCAGTTCTCTATTCTTTGAACTTTAGTGCACAGAGATTAAAGGAATGCCTTATTGAAGTAGTCAAGTCAAGGTTGGGAAACATGTAAGCAATGCTGTAGAGGTGGAAATGTGTACAGACAAGAGAAGGATGGGCAGAAAAGAAATTTCTGCATCAGGAATAACAGATGGTTTATATCATCATCATCTTACTGATAAGGATCCTGAACCATAGAAATAAAGGGGGAAATCTATACTGTCTCTGGTAATAGAAACTAAGCATCCTTTCTCCTACTCCTGTGCTATTGGGCATGTCTACACAGTAATTGTACGTCTGACTGGTGGCTTCAAGCATGTTATACTGATCTAGGTAAACTGCTCCCTGACTGGAAGCATGTCTACAAGGCATGGTGGTGTGATAATTAGGATGGGAGTGGGTTAATTGGCCATGTCACTTAACGTTAATTAGGCTGTCACACAAAAAGGTAGCTACATTACTTTAAGGTTTAGGAGGTAGCCTCCCCAGAGCATCACAAAGTGCTTGAAGCTACCACTGCCTTGCATGGCAGGCTTATCATTTAGACATGGCTTTGGTGAACTCCATGGTGGCTGTTGGGATTTTAAATGTCACCGCAATATGTAAATTACTAAGTATATTAAAACTGTTTGAGGTGTTTCCTGCCAAATATGAGACATTAATGCACACTGCTCTTTTTAAGATCTAAATTTCAGTTAGCGTACTACCAACTTCTAGTCATATATGTCTAGATTAGCTTCTAGGATCAACTGAGAAGTGATATTTGCAAGTGCAAATATATGTGAGACTAATGTGAAAAGGGTATTATTTTTTAAGGCTATGGTAGATAGTTAATTAAATCATAGTCTTTTTGAATAACCCACAGATTTGCACCCCAGATCTGGTGGTGTTTTTGGCCTGTTCCAACCAGCGGCTGAAAGAAAGGTTATTGAAACGTGCTGAACAGCAGGGGAGACCTGATGATAACCTCAAAGCCACCCAGAGGCGATTAACGAATTTCAAACAGAACGCTGTCCCATTGGTCAAGTATTTCCAGGAAAAGGGGCTAATCATCACAGTAAGTCCTTTTGATATCAATTTGTCTGCCTGATAAACCAGTGTATGGCTGTAGCTGCATTCAGGTTCTAAACCTTGTACTTTCCATTCTCTTTGCTTTAACGTAGTCTGTGAGTCACATTCTGCCCTTATTATTGAAGCTGAGGAACTACACTGCAAGAATTGAGTGCAAACTTTGACCTTGTAGTCATGTAATGGAGATGTACAGAACACAGTGTACTTTGTATTTTTTTATGCACAAGTTCATATAACACAACTATTTACTTGCTTTGTATCCTAAAAAACCATAAGGAAATCTAAAGGGTTTTTTGTTTTGGGGTTTTTTTTTAAAGAAAAATGCAAATCAAAAGAAAAAGCATATCAAAACAGTGCCTGCAAGAACTGAAACAATTGTCTCAGCTGTTCAGCTCTAAGAGTGTGATGTCAATGTTAGTCAGATGTGACATTTCCAAATTTTGGGGGTGGGTATATGAAGAATGAGATTTAAGATTGTCAGTTCCATCTGGTTAACATGCTTATACAATTGGCACTCTTAACTGGAATATACTGTAAAATAATATAAACTCCAAAGTTCTATGGCAGTTATAGAAAATATTTTTTTTAAGGGCATTAACCCATATGGAGTGAAAAGTTATCCGAGTTCAAATGACAGAGTGACAATTTTAGCTTCACTTCAATCCTTTGCTCAGGAATGGATTTTATTCAAGCATTAAAAAACAGAGACTTTTGAAGCTTTGATTGCTGTGTCAAGGATGCACTCTTATGCATTGCATGTGGACAGATACTTTGGGATACTTGTCATGAAAATATCAGAGATGTGTTACATTGCATGAGACACAAGGCCATGCAATCTTCATCTGGTGTAAACCAGCATAGCTTCTTTGAAGTCAGTGGAGTGACACTAACAAACACCAATAGAAAGTCCAGCTATTAGTCAGAAAACTGTTCAGACATGTCTCATTCTGTTTGTAGTGTATGGGACTATGTAAATGATATTTTTTAAAGAAATGCAGCTTTGGGTGGCAGAAAAATATGGTGTAAATTGATCCCTTTAGCCAAACATTATGGATACTGGTTTCTGCGATTTGCAGGGAAAGGAATATCATCTTTGTGCTCAAAACAAATATTAAAACGGCATATAAAAGTAAGTGAAGCCAGAAGACTTAATTAATACAAGCATGGTTAGCAAGTATAGTAAAAGTATTTCAGTGATTACCTTCTGCTTGTCACCTGTATGACAATATTCAAGATAGATTATGACAGATTTAATAGCGGATCATTCATTTAATATTGTTTTCTGTTTTAAATGTCTTTAGTTCTAATGGAAGAACTAAATAAATAATGGAGATCCTGATTGTGACAACAGATAAGCATTAAGATAAATGTCTCTAATTACTGTAAAGGAAACTTTTCTAAGGTACAGAATGATCAGAAAGGCTAAAATCAAGGAAATACAAATGTAGAAGATAAGCTAACTGTGGAACAAATATAGAATACCTGTGTATGCAATCTAGTTGTAAAATGCACAGCTAAGAATTCATATTACATTTGAAGAAGTGCTATACAAAATATTGAGGATCGTATCTTACTAGCTTTTTATGTTGAGTTTGATAGCTTTCAAAGTCCAGTTAATAACAGTAATTTTTTGCTGTAGACCAACGATTCCCAAAGGGTGTGCACCTCACCAGTGATGGAAGTGTGCCACAAGATCCCCCTGTGTGAGGAGGTAAATGCTCTCCTTTCCCATCTGGCACCCTGTGCCTGCTCAAGCTATTCCAGTGCCACCTGAGGCTGTTCTTCTAGGGATTGCCACCACAGCTGCTACCTTCCCCCACCCATTCCCGTGCCTAGGCAGTGCCCTGTGCTGCACCCCCAACCCCTCCACACAACACCCAGCAGTGTGTTGTGCTGCAAGCAGTCAGGTGGGTGGATGCACAGACGGAGCTCTGCTTTGCAGCCTGGCTTGCTCCCTCCACTCCTACCATACTCCTGAGTCTTGCAGGAGGGGATGGGGGTGTGTGGTTACTAGCACATGTCACCCTGCAGGAGCAATCTCAGCCATAGGGGTTGCCTTTGCCCCCCAAAGTAGAAACTAGGGATCAGGAAAGGGTAGATAGTGGAAAGAGTAGGGAAGAGCAGGATGAGTTCCTGCCCCTGCTGCCCTTAAGTGGCACCAGCTAGATCAGTGATTCTCAACATTTTAGCTTCAAGGCCTCCCTCTATATATTTTCTTAATTTAAATCAATCTCAGACGTTTTCAAATGGGGTGTCATGAAATTCAGAAACATTATAGAGTTGTTTTTTTAACAGTACATCTTAGCACTGGCAGGAGAATGGAATATGTTATATATTTTGGGTTAGGGACAGAAGTTACACATAAACCAGTTTAAGTGATCAGAAACTGGTTTAAACCTGTAACAGAACAGAAGTTCAGTGCATATAAACTAGTTTCAAAATGGCTGAAACTGGTTTAAGATAAACGTGATTGAACGTAGTACCAGAATTAACTGGTTTAGGTCAAACCAGTTTATGGAACTTCTGTCTCAGACCCCTTCCTTCCCAGACCCCTTCAAGTTAAATCACAGTCTCCCCTGTGGCAGGCCAGTAGGGGGTGCTCCTGCACTGAGCTGCCTGCCTCATTGCACCCAGGCAAAAACCAAGCTTCAAGTGCCTTCCACAGGACACCTTACATCTGGCTGATCCCCTTCTTGGAGCACACCCACAAGCCTGGGGTACTGCTGCCACCACCCAGACTCAGATCCTTGTCTGGGCCCTGTGCCACCCAGGATACATGGGCCCTGTAGACCTTGGAATTTTGGGGTGCTTCTATTAGCCTGAAACATTTACCAGCAGCCTCCCATGTGAAAGGAAAGTAAAATAGCTGAGCCCACTGTGACAGGTGGCACGCTCAGGGTCGGGTCTCAAGCTAGCCTGCCCACCTATGGGGCAGTCTACCCAGTCTTGTCTGCCATGACTTTGCTATTACAGTGAACTGGTAGTAAATGTGGGAGGCTACCCATTACATGCCCTAATGCTAGGGGGCACTATCCAAGGCTCCGTACCTTCCCTACACCATGGCCCATGCATCACAGATGGCATCCAAGATGTAATTGTATCCCAGCCCCTCTTACTGGGCTCCATCCCCCTAATTCATATTGGGCTCCTTGCCCCCACACATAGTCAGGCATCCTAGCTTCTGGGCTCCTTGCCTCTCACTAGGCTCCATGCCCCTTGCTAGGCTCCATGCCCTTTCCCAAACCTTGGGCTCCTTGCCCCTCATTCATTCTGGGCACCTTGCCCCACTCTGGACCCTGTTGGTCCTGCTGATTTCCTTGCTGACCCCATTGGTCCTGCCAATCCAATTGGTCCTAACAACCTCCTGGCCACCCCCTAGGATGTGGGGGCTGGGGTTATGAGATGCCCCTCACCTTTCACCAGGGAGGTAACTGGCCTGGCATTTCTTGGGGACTCCCTTGGCACAGGGAGCCCCACCAGGCCACCCTTCCCCAGCAGGGTGCAGTTTCAAGTCATGCCCAGGACCAATGAGGCTTCCTCCATCCCCATAGCCTCACCCTTACCCTCCGTGTTCCAGGAGAAGCTCAGCCTGATGTTGCCTCCTTGGCTGCTCCACACAGACTGCTGCATCTCTGGCCTATGTTTGAAAATGGCTGTCCTCATCAGGCACCTGGTTACTGCCTGCTCCTGACCTTAAAGTGGCAGGCACCTTAGCAGGTCCCTTCCCTCTTAAGCACACAAAGTGAGACATACTAAAACAGATTTATTGATCAAAGGGTAGGGGTGGGGAAGGAATACCAATATCAAAATATAGAAAGAAAATCAACCTTGAGCAGATCTGAGTGGCTTGTCAGCCTTTTGATGCATGACTAGAGTATATTAAACTTAGTTCCTAGTTAAGTTTTTTTAAGTTACTCACTTCCACATCCAGAGAATGAGAAAGAGCTGCAGAGGTCCTTGCTTCCATGTGTTTAAAAATGTCCACCTTCTTCCTGGAGGGAACCTCTTAAATAGCCTGCCTGACCTCACCACCCGGACCCAGTCAGGGACAGGTGTCATTTGATGCCATCCAATCAATCATCACAGTTATCTAATGGAGTGACATGGGCTTAAGCTCCTGCCACTATGTCAGAAATCAAGACAATATAAGAGACTAGATCCACTCCCTCTTACCTGAGCTAGGTCACATATGCAGTAACCCAGGGCAACCAGGTTGACAGACATGTGCAAAGATAAAGAAAATGAAAGGGGGAAAAAAACCTAAGTTGGGAGGCTGGGATGGAGTTTTTTCACACCCCCAGCATCTCAGCATGCTTTGCAGCCCTGGGCTGTGCTGTCTGCTCAAGCAGAGCAGGGTTGGGGCCACCCCCTGCTCCCTAGCCTGAGCAGTGAGGACTGGCTAACAAGGTGATGCAGGTGGGAAACCCAGGAGGTGCAGCAGGGTCTGCCTGGTGGGGGCAGGGCAGCCCCTGCCAGACTTTTTCCTATTGAAGTGGAGGGGGCAGGGGCATGAGCCAGCAGACTCACGGGAGGAAAGGGGATTAAATTTCCATGTCTCCCCTCATGGTCCCAGGCATGGGGACCCCAGCCAGGGTCTGCTTGGCTTTTCACCCTGCTGGCCACTCACACAGCAGGGGGTATGGCCAGGGTCAGCCCAGGCAGCAGCCTCAGGTGAAGCAGGGTCAGGGTGGGGGATTAAACTCCCCTGTCTCCCTTCTCAGGCATGAGCACGGGGACCCCAGCTCCCTGGCATGTGGCCCCTATGCCTATGCCTGAGAGGGGAGACAGGAGAGTTTAATCCCACTTCCTCCTCCTGAGCCTGCTGGTCTATGCCCCGACCCTCTCTACTCCAGCGGGGAAAAGTCTGGCAGGGACTGCGCTGCCCCAACCAGGCAGACCGGGATACACCACCCAGGTTTCCCACCCATCAGCCAGTATTTCATACCAGTGTTTTTCCTGCCATAACAAATATGACTGAGTCTGTTCTGTTTTATGTGCCCTCACTGCTTGGGCTAGGTAGCAGAGGGGTGGCCCCAACCCTGCTCTGCTTGAGCAGACAGCACAGCCCAGGGCTACAAAGCGTGCTGGGATGCTGGGGGACTGTAATTTAACTTGAACCAAGAAGGGGTCTGGGACAGAAGTTCCATAAACTGGGTTGACCTAAATCAGTAAGTCTGATACTACATCAACCAAGTTTCTCTTAAACCAGTATCAGCCATTTTGGTTTATGTGCACTGAACTTCAGTTCTGTTATAGGTTTAAACAAGTTTCTGATCACTTAAAGTGTTTTATGTGTAACTTCTGTCCCTAGCCTTTGGGTGTAGGAGCAGATTGTGTTGTCAGTTTTAATCTAGAAAAAAAGTGCCTCAGGTATCAAAAGTTTGGGAAGCGCTGCTGTAGACACTGCAATCAGACATATAACTGTTCCAGTTATTTCTCTTTTAGGACTTTGTGTTAGAAATACTAATAGGTTGAAAGTGATATCCTGACTATTGATATCAATTGAAAAACTCTTATTGACCTATAACTGCCACTGCTATGAGTGCTCTCACTGGAGTCAATGGGACCAGTTACAGTGGTTGTGTTGCATACTATGAAGTCTGTATTATGAACTGTACCTGCTAGTATGTGTTTGTTGGAAAGAAAGAATGAAACAGGTACCAAAAAGTATAATGCTTCTTTTGGAAAGGTCTGTAAGGCTAGGGACAGACATTCAAAAAACCTGAGCCTGCATTGATTCAATCTTTGCAGGTTAGTCTGATTTGGGGGGTGGATTAGACATTCCCTTTTAATTCTAGAAATGCAGGCATATACCTGCAGTGACTCAGGCAAGAAGCTGGGGGCAGGGGGATGCTAGAGCAGCCCTCCCTTCCCTTCTATAGTGCTGAACTGAAGGGGGACATGGCCAGGCCCCAGCAGGATGCTCAGATTAAGGAGAGGTTCCCTTCCCCTTGATAACAGAGCATTTATCACCTCCGTTATCAGCATTTAGCACCCCATCAGAAAACAAAGCATCTCTCATTAGTTCAAGCTCTTAAACAGCTTTTTCCAAGGAATGAACAGAGGAACATTACCAGCTACCTGTTGATTAGCTCCAAAAAGCCCTAAGCAGTTGCTGTCCTGTCTGCCTTACACAGACACCTCTCAGCATTAGTTAGGATACCACATGCTTGTAACCATCTGTGCTGTGGGAGGGAGGAAGCCAGGCAGGCCCTGCTGTACCTGCAAGTCTCTACCAGAGCTCCAGCAATGGAGCAGAGAGACCAACCGAGCCCAGAGAGCATGCGGATGCTGGGGGACTCTGGTTTAACTTAAACTGGGAAGTGGTCTGGGACAGACATTGCATAAACCAGTTTGACCCAGATCAGTTAAGTCGGATACTACATTCATCCAAGTTTATCTGAAACTGGTTTCAGCCATTTTCAAACTGGTTTGTGCACTGAATGTCTATTCTGTTACAGGTTTAAATCAGTTTCTGGTCACTTACACTGGTTTATGTGTAATTTCTGTCCCTAGCCTAAATCATACCAGTATTTTTCCTGCCATAACAAATATGACTGAGTCTGTTCTGTTTTATGTGCTGATCAGATTCAACAATGCCAAAATGTCCTTATGTTGCAAAGTACACATAGTAAGAGATATTACCTCAAATAATGTCTTTCCAATGCTTATTTCAGTGCAATCTGCAGATTGCAGATTGCATAGGGAGAT